ATCAGTGATTTTCAAGACTGAAGATGAAATATTGCAGAACTAAGTCTATAAAGCCCTGTATCTCTCTATCAATGAGACTTTTATTAACAGGGCAGACAAATAAATTGAAGGGAATGGGCAAGTTTCTAGAAAAAAGGAGCTGTTGCAATATAATGTGAGGTGTGGATGAAATCTGACCTCAGCCACAAACTTGCAAGATGGTCACATTGTACGCACTTGTTGCATGTGGGTAATGCAAATTGAAGCATTTTGTTTGGGACGTACTACCTAAGTTATAACAGTGATGATTAATTTCTTTGGAAGATGCATTGTCCAGTTGTACAGTCTGACTCCACACTGGGTTTTATAAATCAGCTTAAACGTGAGGTGGCAGGATGCCACACAGCAAGCCATCATGCATCCAGTGGCACAGGAACACAAGAGGCTGCCATATACCAGCTCAGAGTACTCATTCATTCATTCCAGTGTTGTCAAGTCTGACAGGCAATGGCTCTTCTGGGCCTCAGGAAGAGGGGTCTCTCATCATCTGTACTTAATTCTTCAGACTGAAAATACAAGGAATTGAACTGGATGCATGCTGCTCTACCACTAAATTGATTTCTGGCCTAAGGGGAGCAATCCCAGGGGAAGCAAAGTGACCTGCAGTGCAGCCCAGTGTTTGCAGTAAACCTTATCTGAGTTCAATGCAACAAGCATGGCAGAAATGCTACTGAACTATATTAGGGTTATACTTTCTGAGAATGACTGACTCTTCAGCGACAGGATACAGATCATAAGTAAAAGTTCTCATGCAACTTTTAATATTAAAGCTTGGGCTCAGGCTGCTTTAAAAACTACATGAGACTACCAAGTTATTAAGATCTTCCTTGGAGTTCCTCCTTTGCTAAAGTCCACTTTTGTGAGTTAGGCAGGAAGGTCTCACAAAAAGGCTTTTTCAGTTTTGGTGCCCTGACCTTGGAACCCCCTTCCAGAGATGCTCACCTTGAACTTAGTGTGATGTGTTTTCCATGCCAGGCAAAGCCCTTTTTATTCTCTCAAAACCTTTTGATTGCTGTTTTTACCCAATCCTTATTTTGGCTCTACTTTAAACTTGCCTACTTTCATGTACAGTTGTTTTTGATAAACATACACTAGCCACTCTGAGAAGTTTGGCCCAGTAGAATATATACTTTTAATAAACAAACACACTTTGCCCCTTATGTATATGTTAACACATTTTCATCCTACCATGCAATCAAAACATACTCAAGGTGGCTACATCGAAACATAAAAGATGCAGCACTATGAATCTGCAGAAACAAAACCCCAAATCCTTAAAATGTAAAGGAAACAAAACAAATTAATCCAAAGTGAGTCCAAATGTCTTTTGAAAAAAAAGTCTTCCATGATTCGTGAAGAATTCCACAGATAGCTGCAGCAACTGAAAAAGTCTTGCCTTGTGTTCCACCCACCATATTTCAGAAGGTGAGGAACACACAGCAGGGCTTCCATTGCTGATCTGAGTGCATTGCTAGATTCTTTTGAATATTTCAAATGCATGCTACTCACCCTATCGAATGCATAATGTGCACTGCCACCACTGATTCTATTGACACAACAATTTATGACAAGTTTCCACCATTATCCTCTAAAAGAATTGTTCGAGCATGGTTCTCATTCTCTGTAGAGATAAATCAATGCAATGAATGTATGGCTTCAAAATAGGCTATGCTCTCAAAATGTTTCCAGTGCCCTGACCTTTTAATAACCCTGGCATTTCTTGACAAATGTCTTGCTTCTAATTTATTTTAATACATCCTAAATAACAATAAATCTATAAAACAATTAACACTCTACATCAGTTGGAATATTTTAATGGCAGGCAATGAAACCATATCAGGAGACTATCAAAGACTCTCCTCTCTGACATGCCAGGTGTCCATAGAAAGTTTTTTGGCATAGGGAAAGCATTCCAGTCATGCAATTCTTCACACATATTTTCAAATACTGTAAGATCTGTACAATGTCTTGACATATAAACCATTCCTCAGTGTCTCTTAATGCTTGCAGCATAATACAAACAATAATTTCTTGGTTTCACCCAGCTTAGTCTGAAGGAAATGAAATATACCTTTCTTGGAGTTACAAGTCAGTGCCACTATTTTCCATATAATGTGTTTACGTTTCCAACATGTATGAAATTTGTTTCAGTTGGTCATTATTTTTGTGTCCCAGAAGAACTTTGGTTAAAGTAAAAGGATAAAAAGTGTGTGTTGGATATATTTTGTTGAGTAGGCTTATGCTGCAGTTCATTTCTAATCCAAGCTTTAAATGCTGAGTGGCAGGTGAAAAGCAAAGGTGCAAGAAAGTTGTGCACAAGTCACAACTTGTTCTTCCTAGGAAAACACAATTCCCACTCTTCATCCCCATCAGAAATACAGATACCCTTTTTTTTTTTTTTTTTGCAAGAATGGTGTAAACAGTTGTTTTCTGGTGCTATCACTAATACTTAGCAACACAGGAAAACAGAAATGTAAGTGATTATAGTGTTTCTGTAGCCCAGTACTGTCTCTCCTCTGTCTGACAATGGCTTTCCAGGGTCTTTGGCATAGGTCTTTCATATCACCTACTTCTTGGTAACGATTAAACTAGAAATGCCAGTGACTAATGCTGGGACCTTCTACATGCAGAGCAGGTGATCTACAATGGGGCTATAGCCCTCCCTAACATAATCTTCCCCTCTCATGTATGAGCCATTTAAAAACTTCATTAGCAATAAAAATATGAATGCAGTTTAGAACTTTTTCTATTCAGTTAATCCTGGATAGGAGTTGGAACATGCATGCTAGGAGACTGAATTACTGTGTCATTCACAGAATTTCCAGGATACGTAAATATATAAAATAATCCCTTCTCAGGGTCTAATCTTCACCATGGTAACTTTCTCCTGGTGACATGTATTCCAGTTGCTAGTTCAGGATAAATTCTGGGAAACTGGTGTGCAGTAGCAACATTATAGTTCTGTGATCCTCTGGGGACCAAACAGTGTTTTAGTTCTTTTTTTTTTTCCCTGGTGAGCACTAAAAGATTCAAGCTTTTTTCTTTTTTTTTACATGGCATTTTATTTTATTTTGAAATAAAGCTAACAAAATAGGCAAAAATATATAAAATAATAAACAAAATCACTCAAGAAACAGATATCACTAATTGTAGTTCTCAGTTCTAAGTCTATAACTGATATTTCTATGGAAGATCTATAGTAACTTTAATATCTAATGAAAGGAGAGATATAATTTAGATAGCATATAAAAGCAACATGTGTTAGTGCATGTTAGTTTATATGCAACTGTGTGTTAGTCAAGAAAAACAGGCAACTGTACTTGGTAGGAATTTGATCAAAGGTTTAAAGGGCTACAACACAGAAATAAATGGAAACCATCACGTTATGAAACCACAAAATCTTTCTTGAAGTTACAGTTACTTGTTTGCTTCAATTGCTGAATAAGTTTAATACATAGTTATGGTATCTATTAAACTGACTGGTTTATATACTAGAAAACAGTGATAAATAAAAGCTAATCCCTTTCCTATAGTTCAAGTCTGATATAAAGTAAGGCTACAATCCAAATATCTAACATTAATTCACTATATATTCTGGTCCCACTGACCTGTAGTCATAGCCAAACAAATAGTTTTGGGAATACATGACTGTGGCACAGGATGCCTATTTATCTCCTGTGGCTGCCAATGCAAAGTGCAGTGCAAAAGCAAAAAAAAAAAAAATCTAACCTTGTGGTTTAGAGATGTGGTGGCTTTCCTCTGAATCTTCGGAAATCACATGACACAAAAACGTGACTTGTATTATATCTTTTAGAACATATAATTATGTAGTATTTGAAAAAATGGTTTTGAAGTAAATTCTGAAACATGCCCCTTTAAAATCAATCAAATAAATAATCCCAAGCCTCAGCAGTTACAGTAATCATCCCATAAACTTCTAAAAATCAATACAAAAACAATAGTCTCAGACTCTTATTGGAGATATCAGACCTTGCAGTACTTGCACACTATGCAATTTTCTGAATATATCATTAAAATCAACTACCTGGTTAACATAAACCACATAAACCAGTAACGTGTGAAGGAAGACAGCCAGCTTTCAATATTAAAAAAATGTTATTCTTTATTTTTAAAGCAATGGCTCTACAGAGATTCATTCATTGTATGTCCTAGGGCTGTAATAACCAACCTGGACAACCCTTCAAACCAGGGCTGTAGGGATGTGTGGTTGCTTAGGAGGCTGTTAAGCTCCCACCATCCTGCACTATGGCTTAAACGGGCTAGGGTTGCTGGGAACTGCAGTCCAACGTCCGGATGAGCACACTTTCCCCGGCCCGGTTTAAGGTACTCCCCAACTAAAACCCCCTTCTAAACCTTCATGTTAAGAAGGGCGAGTATGTCACCGTGGCCTACCAACGCAGCCGGCAGCGCTTTTCAGCGTCCTCCCGAGCTTAGACTCTGGGAGGGCAACTGGCTTCTGCCTCCTCCTCTGATCAGAAGCCTGTTCCGCAGCATCGCTGTGATAAGGAACTTGCCTGGAAGGCGAACGCAAGGAAAGCTGCTGCGCGGCGGCTCCGCCACCAAGAAGCGGCATCGGTCTGTGCCGTCTCCTCACTTAGCCCTTCGCCGGGATGCGCCTGGGCATCCACCCTGGAGGACGAGGTCGCCTTGGCGAAGCCTCGCCTGGGGAAATGCGGGAGGTCGGCTGTGCACTCATAAGCCGACGGCTCCCTCTAGACAGGGGAAGGCGGCCGTCGTCGCCACACGCGGGCGGGCAGCAGGCCGCTCGAGCAGCGTGTCACACACCCTGCACGCGTCGCCCACCCGCCCCGGCACCACCTCAGCGCCGCGCGCAGCACAAAGCGCCGCCAGACCAAAGGGCAGGAGGAGAGCCCGCCGCCGCCACCTGCTCGCGGGGCTCCCTCGGGCGGCTCTCGCGCCCCCTCGGCTCCGTCACCTACCTGCAGGGGGAACGTCGCCGCCTTGTTGCCCACGTAGCCGCGCACGACATGGCTCTGGATGGAGAGCACCCTGCACTCCTCCTCCTCCATGCCTGCGCACCTCGCGGCTGAGCCGGGAGAGGAGCGGGCGATGCGCTCTGTCCAGGCGAGCGGGGACGGGAGCGCGCGCCGCCGGCTCAAGCCGGGCAGTGGAGGGCGGCAGGGGCGAAGAAGGGCAGCCTGGACTCGGCTCGGGACGAGCAGCGCAGCACAGCGCAGCGCAGCCAGCCAGCCGGCGGCGGCGGCGGAGAGAGAAGCAGCCCGCGAGAAGCGACGGGAAAAGTCAGGCGATCGGCGCAGACACCTAAAGTCTCTTCTTACATCACAGATGAGACTGAACTGGCAGCAGCTCCCGCGAAAGCAATTTAAAGGCACCCACACACGGGCACGCCGCCCGGCAGCAGGAGGGGGACGCTCGTGCGAGAGGCGCGCTGCCCCCGCACTCCACGCCAGGGGGGGCGGGGGGGAACGGCGGCGGGCCGCCCTCTCCTCCCCGCCGCCTCCGCCGGCGTGCCCGGTCGCCTGCCCACGTGCAGCGTGTTGTACTCTCCCCGCAGCGGAGGGCGCCCACGCGGTTGCCCATGTCTCAGCGCGGGAGAGGCAGGAGAGGCTGCCGCTGGAAGAGCCCCGGCCCCGTCCTTAGTCACGGCGACGCCAGACCCTCACGCGGCACTCAAGGCAAAAGGGCGTCTGTGCACGGAAGTTTTTGAGCCCCGCTTCCTCGAGTCGTGAGCCGTGTGACATCGTCTGACTCCTCGGAAAGTGCCCCGAGAAGATGCTCTCTTGGTTTTGCTGGCGGGGTGGCCCCTCCTGGAAGTGGTCACCACCACAGCCTTCCATCCTTTCAGGAGAATCGTTATCCAGGCTCGTTATCCGGGTTGGCCCAAGTGTAACCTGGCTACCCAGGGCAGCACTACCGCTAGGCAAATTATGGTCGTTCCCTCCGGCAGGAGATGTTGGGAGGTAGCTACAAGGTATTGAATGATCCTTGGAGGAAGCTGACTCATAGTTGGGATTGAAGAAGGATGCAACTACCAGTCAAGTTAGACATAGTACTGGAAGGGGTGCCATTTTGTTCTTTGCCTCAGGCAGCAAAATATCTTGGCTTTATGGCTGCAGCAACCTCCACACTGATGCCCTGCGGTGTTGTCAACTCCAACCAGCATGGCTAACATGCTAGAAGTTGTAGTCCAAACCATCTGGAGTGCATCAGGTGCAGGATATTACCCCCACACTCATCACACACCACTCCTAGACTTATAGTGAATTCCTAGTTCCTATTCACTCTTAATGAAGTCATCTAAAATAGCCAGTCACATGACCCTAGCAGACACAGACCAGAATGTCACAGATGTATGGTCCCTTTTTCCACTTCAGATACACACACACACATTCTGAGACAGTTGCCTAGTGTCATACTCGTAGTCACCTTTCAGGCAGACATAAAAAGGGACATGGGGAGACACCATCACCATTAAGATAAACAACAAAAAAGTGCCTCACTTAGAGCAGTTCACTGAGATGAACTATGTAACTAAGGCTCTTGAAATCCTCAGATAATTGTCTGATATTTCTTTACAGGTTTTCAAAAGCAGGACATGCAAGTATTTGTTTTGCTTAAACTGATGCAGTCCCTTGGTAATATTTGATCTTCAGTATTTTTCAAGTAGCAGATAACTTTGACTCCCAACACTGCCACCAAAGCCACTTGGTTTTCTCTCTGGCCATGAAGGGCCTCTGCTTGTAGTCTCATTAAGTGATACTGAACACGAGACTCACAAGAGTCCTTTTCAGGCATCTTCCCATCCCCTTTACAAGGCTTGTTTGGTCCCTACACTGGGATATTTTTTCACATCAGTGAGAGAGCGCCTTGTTCCATTGGGTGCTGCAAAATCTCCTAGTGCATATCCAAGTTGCTTTCCCCTACACCTCCAGTGCCTGTGCAAGGAACCCGAAGCAGCTTATATAATCCTCCTATTTTACCCTTGCAAGGAACCTCAAGGAACTGAGTATGAGCAGCTACTGCAGAAAGGGCAGGTGGAGAGGTAAGATCCATCCTTGCATTGACCAGGAGCTGACCTTGAACCTTGCACTGCCTTATTAGGTAAATGGGCTAGACTACCTCTTTACAGCTCCTCCTCTAGGCCCTATGGCTTGCTAAAGGGTTTGGGAGTAATTTGGAAACTACCCCCTGCTGCATACCTTGCTGGGTTCAAAAATGTGGCAGCCTGCAAACCATGAGGGTAATTAGGCAAATTGCATAGAGCATGTAACCAACACATGCTGTTTGGGAAAAGTCGCTACCATGGCTGTTCTTTGTGGTGTTGCATGCACTCATTCTGTGCGTTATGTGGCAAATACTCCTGTATGCTATGGCAGAGAAGTGAGTGCCTCAAGAGTGATGAGTTGGTAGCATTTCTGTAATGTAGTTTAGTTCTAAGAATGAACTCTGGCAGGATTTGTTCCTGGCAAGAAGGCTGGACTTGATGACCCAAGAGTTTGTTCCCAATGTTGTAGCTGAGTGTGCAAAGAAACCTCACACTCAGTGTTCATCTTTATACATCACTCATCTGGCATGCATAGTACATTTAATGAATCCGTAAGGCATGATAATGCATGTTATTGCCATGGTAATGCAGTTATATAACCAAAAAGTACACACAAGAAGATTGCAACTGTCAAGAGGGCAAGCTAATGTTAAGGGTAAGGTTTCCCAGTGTGTTAAAAATTTGCTCCCTAATGTCTATAGGTGATTCTAGAAACCATTTCCTACCTCATTTCATGGAATTATATTTAGGGTCTAGGCAAGCTTTTCCTCCTTTTATATTGCACACCACTTCTTCCATCTTTTATCTTTTGCAGAAAAATATGAGGAGGAAAAGACTAAATACATGCACAATTTCTTTTGATGTATGCAACAAACTGTATCTGGAAGCACCACAACATAGTAGCCCTATAAATGTTTGCTCAGAAGTAACTACCACTCTGCTATAGGCCTGACCAACCTGAGGTTCATTTATATAAACAGAACTAAGTCTGGATCCATCCCCATGTGATTCAGCAGAGAGTTGATTTGTGACACTAAATCTTTTCAGTTACCTCAATTTTCTAAATACATGCTCATTTTTAATGAATAATTCATATCAAAGATGCTGTTGGTGCTGGTGGTTAAAGAGATGGAAACCAAGGATTATATCCAATGTTAGTACAACTTAAAGTAGACGAGACAAGTTTCTCCTTAAATTAAGCTTGAATACAACAGTATAAAACAATATTTTGTAAGACCACTTTGTTTTTAACTTTCACTGTGTGAGATAATCCTTGTAAAAACATTTAATAACCTTTTCCCCAGTGTGTTCCTTCTTCCTTGTGTGACTCATTTGTTATGTTTAATCTCAATGCCTTGGGCTTTGATCCATGCTTGGGAAAATGTGTATTATGTGTTGCCTCAGAAACAAACTCTGTTCTTTGAGTTTATAATTGTGCATGTTGGTCTACTAGAGTTCAAAAAGAGGTGCAACTTTGCTGGAGATTATTGCTTTGACAGTAATTAGCAGTCCTCCATATGGGCTGCTTCCTGACAGAGGGCTGCTAGCACAACCCATGAAAAGGGGCCGTACAACTTTTACATCTTCATGGAGTCTTCATGGTAAGAAAAAGGATAAAAGCAGTGGGAAAACATGGGTGAGTTACAGTGAAAGAAGGCAACAGCTAGACAGAGAAAATTCAGTGAATGAGTCAGGTCAGTTGTATGCACAGGCCTCAAACTAGAAGGCGTTTTACATTTATTTATTCAACTTGTATTCTGCTATACTAATCCAAAGACTCTCCTAGTGGATTACAGTATTAAATCAAATAACAATAAAGTACTTTCAATTCCAGGTAGTTAGTAACCAAAAGTTCTTATCTTTTTACACTTTGTACTGATATCTTTGGGAAACAGAGTGAAAGCCTGAAATGTAGTCATTACTAGAAACTGGATGTTCCAGTCCAGAAAGTAACAGTAGTTATGGGAAACTCAAACATGCTGGTCTCTGCTGAATGAATTCAGACCCAGCACATTGGCTTAACAATTTTTCCTTTCAAGGGACTCAGGGCAACGTACATGATTTTCTTCCTCCCCTCAATCTTATCCCCATAACAACAACCCTGTGAGGTTGGGCTGAGAGTCTTTGACTGAGCCAAAGACACCCAGTTAGCTCCATGGCTGAGTGGGGACTAGAACCCAGACCTCCTAAGTTCCAGTCCCACACTCTTAACTACTACACCAGACTGCCTTACTATATCGTAATTCAGCTAGTATCCTTTACCATGATAGTTGTTGCTAAACCTCAGCCATGGTGGGGGAAGGGAGGGGAAAAATAATAACCACAAGTTACTGTGAAGCAATAAGCAATGTGAAGCAAACCTCTTATTTCTCAATTGAAAGGAGCCCTATAGAGAAAACTGTCTAGCACATACCTAACAAGAACTTAACAAGCTGAACCTAAGAAACATCACCTTGAAGTTATGTAATGTGTCACCTGTCTTTCTTGGATGTGGATGACGCCAATATAGCAACAAGAAAAGTAGCTCATCTGTGGACATCAAGGGTATGGGGCCTAACGTAGCAATTCTCAAACTACCCTCCATCCTGGCTGATCGTGTGTGTGTGCACGCGCGCAAGAGAGAGAGAATATGAGAGAGGTAGATTGGTGGACTGCTTACTTTTGTTTGTTTTTCACTGTGGAGCAAACATGTCTGATTTTGGAGCTAAATAAGAAAACAAAATGTGGTGTTTTTTTCATGCCAACATTGTTGACAAAACTAGAGCTGTATTAGACAAATCACACTCCCTAGCTAGGCTGTTGAGAAGCGCCACACTATGATAGCAATCAGTGCCATATTCTAAACAGTGCAAGGCAGCGTGTTCTTAGCATGTTTGATAATCCAACCTTGGTCAAACCAATCTTGAGTTCCATCATCAGAAAAAAGTAATAACCAAGTGCGGTGCCAAATACCAGTTTTCTTGACAGTTCTGCAATCTTTCCAGCCTTCCCTAATCCGATGCCCTCTAAATATACTGGACTACAACTCCTGATTTTAGAAGTCTCATACCTCCTGTACTAGATACTGCACTAGCTTCAGCTCCTTGTGCCTGCTCTAAATGGAAAAAAGAACATAGCTTCTAGTTACAAATTAATGATGGTTGAGGATCCACATTTGTTCTGCAACTGTCTTCAGCAACTATTAAACTGCTGTCTGGCATATTGTTTTGTTCTGCCATGTACATCTATGTATGCCTTCTAAAGAGTTGCCTCCTGTAGAACCATAGCTAGGGTGGAAAATACTGCATACAATAACTGTCCAAATAAACATACTAGTTTTATGAAGAATATGAGCCAAAAATACCACAGGATCCTTGCAAGGAGGAAAAATGCTCCCAGCATAAATCACATCTCTCAGCAGTTTGCTTATTATGTGTAGCTTGCGTCACGTGTCATCATCTGGCAGTCACGAGCCCCTTCCTTCAGTCCTCATGGCTCAAGGATATCTGCTTAGTAAAAGCTACAGTTCTATATATTCTATTCTCTGAAAAAGCATGCATGCCAACAGCAGGAAACTCTTATCATTGCTATGATGTGATTTAAGCAGAAGAGATTTCTGTTTCAGGTAGAACTGTGGGGGTCATGTGGGAAATTGACTAATGTTGTCTGCATTCATCTTCAGGCATGTTACCTGGGTGATGGTAATTGTGTTTTTGTTCTTTTCCTCTAGTGAGAGAAAATGCCCTACACTTGTCTGGATTAAAAATAGTCTTAAAGACAACAGTAATATAATAGCTTATATACAATTTCATATAATTGGTCAATATGGTTCTGTTTCAGTACATGGAAGAATGTGAACAGAGAACACAATACAAAAAATAAAGAACAGTACTATGGTGCAATGGCATTTCTGTAATAGTATATACACATGCAGCATTCTGAAATCAGGACTATCTACAACATGCCTCTTTGAGTCTAGGACAATTCCGTTTTGAAACCTGCACTACATAATGTGTATACATGAGCAGATCACTCCTTGTTTAACCTGTTGTTAAAGACAAGAGATATACTTATCTTTTTAGCCCACCTTTTCATATGTTTGAATTGGATTCATTTGGAAACAATCCAGTTTTGATTTCAGAATCAGCAGACATGGAAGCAGATAAAACACGTCACTGCTAATGGATTTTTTTTTTAAATGCAGCTCATACTGTGGACTAGTTCCATTGGAATTTTGAAATCAGGGTAAATTTGTTGAACTTACCAATTGTATTTTACTAACAAATTATTACCCTCGATGCAAAACAAACGTTTCAGAATATGAAAAATGTTATTTTCTATACTCAGTTTTGTTAAATATAAATGGAAAATTAGCATTTTCCTTGGCATTTTTCTTTGATCCTTTTTTTAAATCTTTTTGTCCATTTGTTGTCAATGTTCCTGATTTTTGAAATGTGATATGGTTCTAAGATGTATATGAGATAATCGGTGATTGTATTACATAAGTGAATATTTTTAAGGAACCACTTTACAAAAGAATACCAAGCTGGGACAGTTCTAGACATTCTCTATTATAACAGCTAAGTACAAGTCAAGATCATTAATATTACTGATAGGTGAAGAGCTCTAATGTCATGGGAGGAGAACACTGCTAATGGAATTATAAATTCAGTTGCAAAGTAAAACCAAGTTATGAATTCAGTTGCAATTTTCAAGGGGTCTTTTCATTTGACTTAATCCATTCCCAGTGAGAACAGCAAGAGCTTTAAGCAACTATGGGCTATTCCAGGGCAAAAATTTACCTTCCTTATCCCATTCTTATTTTACACTATTTGTGGGAAGAAGTTTATTACCATAAAAGCAGCCTTCCCCAACCTGGTGGCCTCCAGGTGTTTTGATGTCAACTCCAGTCAGCTGTAGACAGCATAGACAAAGGTAGACGTGCTGGGAGTTGTAGTCCAAAACATTAGAGGGCAGCATCAGGCAAGGCTGCAATGCAGAAACAAATGTTGCTGCCATGCTGACAGACTTCTGACAACTGAAGTACAAAACATCCTAAGAGCTACATTTCAGTTTGCACACCCCAGGTTTTTCCCCCTACATGTTTCAAAGTAAAACTCACATCATCCTTGACCATTGACCAAGCTAGCTGGGGCTAATGTGAGTTGCAGTTCCAAACAATGGGGGGCATCTCTTAAGAGAAGCCTGATGTGTGTGTGAATTCTGAAAAGCTGGTCAATGACTTTAACAGCTAGAACATAGAGTGTGAAACTTCTCCCCATCTCTACTGGTGGTTTCTGCTGGGCATACTGGCTAATAGAAACTGCTATTTTAATTTCCCACAATGCCTTGGATCGGGCAGTATCCTAAACTTCTGTTGAGCTCCCTCTAGTTCTATTGTACCAGCAGGACCCACTGTTAGCACAACAGGAACCAGTACCTCCTAAAGCCGCAAAGAATGGATGGAAATGCTTGTTTCTGCCTCGTTTTAGGAACTGTAAGCTTCTCCTGCCAACACAGAGGCAGCACAGGGTACTGTCCATTGTTGGAGATGGAAATAGCTAGAGACACTTGTTAGGTGTCTGGAGGACTAGACTGGGATGAAAATGTAATGGATGGCCCAAGCAGCTGCCCATGGATGCCAGGTGCTGATCTTGCTTTCAACATCTATTCTGCAACACACTTGATAATATGGATTATTTTCATGGGAAGTATAATACTCTGAGGTTTAGGTTGGTCAAAGGTTAAAAGCAACTCTTGTCCTCAATATTCTTAGGTGCTTCTACTTCAACAAAAGTAAATTGTTGACTTATACTGGTTCTAAATCCTCACTGCCTTTCTCCAAGCAAGTAAAGCAGTCAGTTTAAAGAGCCAATACTAACATTTATATTGTGATATTTCCTTCCATTAAGGTTTACTAATATAAAGAGTTAACAAATGTACACTATCTGATGCAAGTCCCCAAAATGCAAATATTCCATTCTCATTCAATTCACCCTCTTTCAGCTCCAAGGGGTGAGGAGGAAGTGAGCACTCTCAAACCAATGGACAGCGCTTAACAAGGAAAATACCAGAAGACATTTGAAAACAAAACAATTATAATATCACTACTTTGAACTTGATGAAAACTCAGGAGAAATACTTAATGCCAAGGGCAGGAGTCTGCAAAAAGTTTTTTACCACATACTTTGGACTTCGAACTCCCAAGAGGCCCAGCCACCATGACGAATGGTCAGGAATACTAGGAGATAAAGTCCAAAATATCTGGAGAGCTACATTTTTCATACCCTTGATGCAGGGGAACTATTTGTCCTTTGACCTACAAAGCAGAAAAATACAGTAATGTTATTACCAAGCTTCAGTGGCCAAAGTAAAAAGCAAGCAAGCAAAACTCATAATTAAGTGATAATACCTTCTGTGTATGCGAGGTTCCCTGAACTATGCTATTCTGCATTTATGAAGGGTTGAGATTCTAATACCCAGAGTAATGATGTGGTACCCCTAAAAAAAGGGAAAAACCATTTTTAAAAACTCTTGACTTTAAAGTGAAGACAGATGAATCACACCAGAATATTAAATGCTGAAAATAATTTAATCTTACACTGCAGATGTAAATCATAGCTGTGTTTTCAATACCATCTTTATTACCCTGTGTCAAAAGGCATTAAGGCTTTCAGAAAGAGCTTAAAACACCACTCTAACTTAGTTCCTTTTAATGGAAGAAGAATAATGACAAAACCTGGCCCCCACCTGAGGAATTTTGAGTAGAAGCAGCATTATAAAAATGCAAACACTTACTAAAGAGAATGTACATGTTACACATAGGAGCAAGTCTGAAGGAGCTAACAATATTACTACAAGTGCTTAGGAAACATGTGCCAACATGTCTGGCATACAGGCAATAACAAAACATGTATTAGAAATTGGGATCCCAGTGGAGGTTTGGGTGTTGTTGCTATTTCAAAAAAGAACTAGTTAACCTGTACTGATAATCTAGGTTGTATGTAATGTTATCTTACTTAAAAGAGACATACTGAAATGAATGGGACTTAAATTAGACTGACAGCTACAACCCTGTATTTCTATTCCAAAAACTTTGGCAGGAAGATAAAAGGGACATGTAAGGGAGTACGAATACAGCAGCACAGGATTGAGGCAAGGGGAGCTGTGTGCTTCTTTGATTCCTGGACTTAAGTTGAAGCTTCTTTACCAGAAAACCAGGAACAACCACCAATTAACAGAGTGCAAGCAGCAACAATTTAGAATAAATCTTTACAAATTCATATACTGTGTGACAGGTGATTTTAAAAGTCTAAGGTCACACCCCATTTGCTTTAGCCTTTTGTTAACAATGTACACAAAGCCATTTCAATGCACAGCCAAAGAGGCTTTCATGATAGAAATGGCATCACAAGTCACACAATCACAAACTTAACTATACTATTATATTAATTTTGAAAATGAAGTCCCAAAATACCTCCAGAAATAATTGGTTACTGAAATATTCTGTACAAAAATTACTCTTCTCCTTATTGGCTTAGAAGAAGTCCACAGCAGTTGGTCTCTTCTTATGAGACATTAAAAATGGTTTCTTTATTTGAGGTGTTCCTGCAGAAGAGCCAGAAGGGGACTTCAACACTCCATGAGGTGGTTTTTGCTCAGGATTGAAAGCTACCCGGGAGGCTCCCTCTGGGCTGACTAAGATACTTTCATCTGTCTTCTTAAATTCTGTGAAACAAAGATGAAAAAACAAGAATGTGAGTCTTGCATCATCCTGTTGCTAGGCTCACAAAAGTGTTTATCTGGTTGCTACAGCTGTGTCGCTGACCATCCAGAATGATTTTAAGGAAATGGTGATAAACTGGAATTGCAGTCTCCTAATGGATTATATTATATCTACTGACAAAGGATCTGTCACTATGCCAAGAACTCTGTATTTAGACCTCAGGTTCTTAAGATGGTCTCAATCTTATCCCCACCCTAGGAGGTAGGTTGGGCTGAGAGTCTGTGACTAGCCCAAAGTCACCCAGCTGGCTCCATGGCTGAGCAGGGACTAGAATCCAGACTGACCCAGTCCCATGCTCATAACCAGCAGACTCCAATGGCTCTTAAGCCACACCCCATGTACCATATAAAAATTGCTTAAGGGTCATAATGGATTATTTAATTCCTTTTTTCTACAGATCAAAGCACACTATTTTAGTATTAGCACTAGCAGTAGCATCAAAAAGAGTGTTTCATAATAAATGTGCAGGCTGTAAGCCAAGCCACTGAGAAATGGCCCTTGCACCTAAACATTTAGTAGTAAGCAGAGTACGTGAGTAGAGCTTGTGGAAGGACCACCAATGGTCTATAGACCAAATATGAGAACCTTTTCTTCAGATCAGCTTTCTCCAGAAATAATGAGAATTGCAACAATCATCACTCCAATGAGGACTATGGGAGTGTAGCCCAACACATCTGGAGGGTATCAGGTTGGGGAAGGCTGCTTTAGACTATCAGTACAAACTACAACTAGTCAGTTCTGTGGTGCTAATGCAGTGGATGCATTTCAGAAGAAAGTTCCCGTGGGGGCCAAACATATTTGTCAGCCCAGATATTGGTGACCCCAGTGAAGGGAACAGAAAGTACAGTTCCCATTCCAGACCCTACAGGCTCCTTTACTTTCCTGCATTAAAGTGAATGGTTGGCAGGCAGTTACAAGAGAATGCAGAAACCATTTGAAAATTTGGCAATCGCTGTTTAAAATTACATCCCTTCTTACTCTGCCTATTTTCAAGGAAGTAATAAAGGCATGTATATCTGAACTTACCTGCAGTCATGTTCTTATTCAGTCCAAAGGTGACCTTTTTGGAGATGGAAGATTGTAGCTTGCTTAGCTAGAAAGAGAGATTAAAAATGGCAAAGTTGTTTCTCTGAAGCACTTAACCTTTCCTTTATTTATTAAAATAACCCCTGTAATTCTTCAGCTATTCATGGTGGCTCACAAACACAACTGAACGTTATTATATTAACAGTAGTAAAGCAACATCTGAAAATATTCCTCTAAGCCCCATGAATAAAAGTCTACTTTACCCAGGGCTTAGCTGCCACATATTCACTTAGGAGAGGCAGTGCCCTTCCCCCAGCTGTTATCAAAAATACAAGGGACAGCTCTTCCCCTACTGCACTCCTCCAAAGTTTGTATTTCCTTTGGCAGGAAATCCAATACTGGTGTCAGCAAAGGTTTGGAATTTCCTTCCAAAGCAAATACTAGCTTCAGAGAACAGATATATCTCAGGAACACAGTGTGGGAGGAAAGGGTTAAATCTGCCCATGCTTACTGGTCTACCCAGCCTGATGCCCTCCAGATGAGTTAGACTATAAATGCTGTATCTTACAGCTAGTTTGGCTGTGGGATCATGGGAGTGGTAGTCCAACACATCTGGAGGGCACCAGTTGATGAAAGTTGCTTATAGTCCTCCCCATAAGCACCTCCTCATAGCTGACGCTATCTGGATTTAAAAAAAACAACCCAGCTACTGACATTAAGTGCAAAGATGCATTGAATGGCACGTGTGATTTGGTCCACAGAGATTATTAGTCCGGCTAACACTACACCTAAATCTGCCCAGCAAACATGGCTATTCCTCTTCTCATTCCAGGAAGGTCATCCACATTTTCACTGGTGTGAGAAGAAAGCCACTGCTAACAGAGTGAGCAGGTGAGGCCCCTCTTCACAGACTACTGCATTACAGCAGGGGACCACCTTGTATTATGATATGTGAGAGAGAGAGAGAGAAGCTCTAAATGTTTCACAAAACAATACAAACGTAAGAGCATAAAAGCCACACAGGATCGGACCAAAGGGCCACCTAGTCCAGGGGTCGGCAACCCGCCGCTCCGGAGCCACATGTGGCTCTTTCATTCCTCTGCTGCGGCTCCGTCACTCAAAATATGCGCTACAACCGCCAATGTGCAACACCCACCGGAACACGATTTATTGAGCTTTTCGACCCCTGGTAGACCAACCATGGATAAATCCAAGAAAAGAGAAGTGTCAGAAGAAAACAGAACGTTTAATGGTACGTGGGCAGATTCATTTGCTTTCACTGCTGACGAGACTGGTTTACCAGTATGCTAAATATGTGGTGAGAAACTGACAAACAACAAAAAGTCGAATGTCGCAAGACATTTCCAGAACAAACACACAGCCTTTGCTGAAAAATATCCGGATGGAAATGCAACACACTATAGTTTTATATACACAGCATAAAGGTAAAAAAACAACAGATGCAGTGTTATCTTCATTTTAGATGTCAAAAGGGTTTTGTGGCTCC